TTTTTTTTTTTTTTTTTTTTAACTGGGGATTGAACTCAGGATGCTGTGCTTGCCAGGCAATCACTTATTCTAAGAATAAACTCCCTCCTTGGACCCCTATCGTTTTTAGTTTTGCTGCTGTGCTTGCAGTACATAGTGGCCACATTCATCCTGGGAGCTGGCAGCTGTACATCACAGTTGTCCCTCCATCCCCTTCCTCTCTTCTTCCTACCTGCCTCATTTCTTACCTTTCTTTCCCTGTCAGTCTTCCATTCCATCTAAGAAAGATCCATCTGCCTACCTCCTCTCAGTGATCTCATATTTTGTTCCTTATTTATATTTTAGATTTTCCTGAATAAGAGAAGCCATGGAATTACTTAAGTTTGTGTGTGCCTAATTTATTCCACTCAATATTACAGTTTCAACATACATCCATTTTCCAACTGTAACTTATATATATGATGTCTTCACTTCCATTGAGAAGATACCTAGATTGGGCCTCGTTGGGTCCAATAAAATTCTACTTTGAGATTTTTAAAGAAACTGCATATTGATTTTCATAGTGGTTTTACTACTTTACATTCTACCCATGTAAAGGGCTTCTTTTTCCCCATAGCCTCACAGAGTTTGTGATTAAATTTTCTGATCATGGTCTTTCTTTTTTCCTGAGATATAATGTAGTCTGAGTATTGTTTAATTTTCACTTCTCTAATGTCAGCCAGGAGGAACTGATGAACTTTATTTAATAAGTACTTTGTATTTTTGAGAAGCATCACTTGCTTATTTTTTTATTAGATCTTATTTAGGAAGTCTAATTGTCTTAATGTTCTTTTTTAATATTCTAGATAGTATTCCTCTGTCCGAGAAATAGCTGCCAATTGTATTTTCATCCTTCAGGTTGTCTCTTCACCTTAATCATTGTTTCTTCTGCTGCACAGAAGTTTTTGAACTTGATAAGATCCCAATTTCTTGATTGTTGGTCCTTTTTCTTGTGCAACTTGAGGTTCTATGCAAAAGTCTTTGTCTATGCACATGAATATTTGGTTCCTTTTTGTTTTAGTTGATTATATAGTGAAAGATACTGGTATAATGTATGATTTTGACCTCTTGGTAAAAGATCAAGTAATTAAATGTGTTTGGGTTATTTCTGCATCTTCTAGTTCATTTTTTTTTTTTGATCCTTGCATCTGTTTTTGTATCAGTTCCATGCTGTTTGTGTCACTGCAACTTTTTATTTTATTCAAAGTTTTATTTTATTTTATTTTGAAGAGTAAAGAAAAGCAAAAACAAATAGCTAAAACAAAGACAGAAACATGGTTTTTAATTGGAATTCAAAACTGGGATTGGAATGTCTTCTACTTTATTGTTAGTTAGGATTATTTCTGCTATTCTAGGTAGCCTCTGTTTCCATATAAGTCTTAGGATTATTTTAGTTCTGTGAAGAATATTATTCACATTTTGGCTGGGATTAACTAAGTCTGCATATAAGATTTAGGAGTATAGCCATTTTAACTATGTAAGTTCTACCTATCTTAGAAGAGGAAAAGGGTATTTTCTTAATTTCTCACATTTTCTTAAATATTCTTCTTCAGAGTACTGCAGTTTTCATTGATGAGTTCTCCTACACTTTTTAGTTTACTTCCTAAGAATTATTTTATTACAGGGGCATTTGTGAATGACATATTTTTTCTAGTTTCTTTTTTGCGAGAGTATCATTATTGTGCAGGAATGATTAGTTTTTGTGTTCATTTTATGTCCTGTTACCTTGTTCATTTTTGGTATTAATTCTAAGAGTATTTTGATGGTTTGGATCTTCTATCTATGATGAGAGTCAAGTCAGATCTATTACTTTTATTTATTTTTCTTGACTCATTACTTTTGCTATTATTTTAAGCACTAGGTTAAACAAGAGTGGTGATAAAAGGTGTCTTATATTTTCCTGATTTTAACAGAAAGTTTCAACTTTGCCTCATTTACAATATATTCTCAACACATTTGTTATATATGGGGTTTTATCAGGTTGAGATAAAGTCAGTCTATAGTCTATTTCATCCATGCTTTTATCATGAAAGGATGTTGGCTTTTGTCATGGGTTTTGTTGTATCTATTAAAATGATTTTATGATTTTTTTCTCATTTCTTTTTACCAATTTAAGTAAGTTGAATTATCCACTGCCTGCCTGCAATGAAACTTACCACTTGGTCATTATGTATGATTGATGACTTATTGCCAGTATCTTCTTGAGGAGTTTTGCATCTGTATCACATCTTCCTTTTTGTTTTCTCAGTCTTTTCCTTATGCCTTATTCTATTTTGTATGCCCCTTGTATTGGTGTGCTCCATTTTGATGACATAAAAAGTATTAATTAAGCAACTGACCAGACCTCCCCCTTCTGCTCCTTGATCATGAGACAATTAGAGTTGGATTCTGAATGGCAAGGACTACGTGATTCTTTTTAGAAAGAAAAGAAAACGTTTTGTTTCATAATTTGCAACAAAAATGACTTATAACTTTCAACAATGTAATTAAAAATAGTATGATAACAGTTAGATCAAATTAAAATCAGTTTAGGAATTATCCATCACCCTTTGTTAAAGGTAGACTCTGCAATGAAATACAAGCAGCTGTCATGTATTAAGTGTGTCATATAAACCATGAATATATTGTAGCCTCATTATAATCCCATTTGTTTATTTTTTCAAGGAAAAGTATTCAAGGAAAATCATTTCATAGAATGATTTACGATGAATCAATGAAATTTAACCTTCTGTTTCATCAGCCATACTGTCTTTGTTGCCATTACATTTGCTACCAAACTGGATGTGCTTCCTCTAGCTTCTAAGATGTAAACTGAAGACAAGGTTAATGGATTAAATAAAAATTGAAATATGTGCTAACCTATCTTCCAATCACACCAAAACTAATGCAAATTTAAAAATCTGTCATTTTCTACAGTATTATTTCAGGAATTTAAATAGTATCTGATTTCTCAAAATAGCATGTTCTTCAAATTTACTCTTATATCTGTATCTCCTTTAAATCAAGGCATAGCACTGAGCCTGTGCAATATAAGGATGTGGTTCATGAAAAAAATATAATACATAAATGTGTCATCATATAGTCCTGACCCTCTTCCATCACTTATGAGGATTGCTCTGGCCACATTATTTAAACTGTCTGACTTAGTTTCCCTACCCATCTCCTGCAAGAAGATAAACTTTACTACATCATAGAAGATCAGAAGATTAATTGTGGCAGTCATTAGGACCCTCACTCTTCAGTTATAAGAGGTTAATGTAGAATCATTAAATGTATAGGGCTGGGAGATAGCTCAATGGCATAGTTGCCTGCTTAGCAAGCTCAGGGTTGTGAATTTGATCCCTGATCCACAAAAACAAAAAAACAAGCAAAAAGTAAAACAAAACAAAAGCAATGCAAGTTTATTGATTAAATATATCTGAAAAGATGAAAGAAACAAAGTTAGAAGAAAGGAATGAGAGAAGAAGTCAAGAGGCAATGCATTCTTTTCCTAGATTAGCTCAGTCGTATATTTACTGATCCATGTTACTGCATATTCTGAAACTTACATTACCATCTAATCAATGCAGCAATAGTCTTTGACATGGCTTGATGATGATGTGTGCTTTCAAAAATAAATATATAAACAAATAAAAACAACTATATAATTATATAAAATAAATATATAAACATATAAGTGAATAAAACTAAATGATTTAGTTCTCTGAAACAAATGATATAAATATCAAAGCTAATACATTTCTCATAATTATTCAAAACATGCCTAAATGGCATTGTTCTTTTTTTCTGTATTTTTTAGGAAAGGGCCTACAGAGTGTTCAGGGTCACACTACTAGATCAGACTTGTAGTGATCCGCCTGTTTACCTTCTCCCAAGAGCTGGGATTACAGGCTTGTGCCACGACACCCAGTCTCAATTGCTGTCTCAGTGTGCCCCATTGGTGGGGCTGGCTAAGCAACACTGGGGATGGAAACCCTGGCCCCTGAGCCTACTTGCAGGCACTTTAATCTGCTGAGGTATGTGACTGGCCCTCAAAAGGCATTGTTATTGAGGAGCAGCCCATGTGAGGCCAGGACAGGATGGCCCAGAGCACTAGGACAGCAGAAGTCTGAAGTGTCTTGCCCTATCCATCTCTGTTCTTTGCACTTAGGTACAGCACGTCTCCTAGGGCAAGCAGGATTCAGCCCAGGTTAGACTGCATGGAGACACTGGCTTCATTGTTTCCATTTCAACACAATAGCAAATGGATGGTGTTGATATGCACTCCAACCAAGAACCCTATGAGGAATTCTCTGAAGAATGTTTCAGGGGTATGACACGAAGAATCAATAACACAACAGCTAAGACCAATGCCACGTGCATGACTATTCTGAATCATCTTCTCCTGTACTCACTTGCTGGGTTGTCTGTATTGTGCAGGCTGACCACTGGGACCCTGGGACCTGGATTTCAAAAATACATGAATAAAGAAGGTGAAGCAGTGGCATGCGCATTATCACACTGTAAGAGAACATTTGATTTCTACTCATCTGCAGGGAGCACAGTATCATTAATAAGGGAAGATGATTTCTTTAAACATATGCTAGTGATACTTGTAATATACTGTTACAAGCTGGAAGAAGTAATCAGGATTAATATAATCGCCTAGAATTTAAGAAAGCTGGAGAAGAAAATACATTTTAATATATCACAAACCTATTAACAACAAAGCCAATGTTTTAATAAGACTAAAGAACAGCTAAATTAGCAATGATTTCACAAATACATATGTCTATTCACTTTTTAAAAAATGCCCATGTACAAATAGCCTTCATTGAAGATGTGTGCAGTTTTTTTAGTTTTTTTCTAAATGAAATGCATGAATTAAATTTATTTTAGAAGATGTTCAATATACAGAATTTTATTTTTATTAATGGTAGCAATAGATCGCAATCACATACAATGAAATACATTCTCTAAGAAGCATTATCTTACCTTCACAGAATAATAGAAAATGTTGATTCATGGGACTAAAATTGGCATCAAAATATGTACATTGTTCTTTCATAACGTTACATGAAATGCATTGGCGATTCAGTGACTCTTCAGTAGAAGCACTGAGAAAAGAAAACAAGTGTTAGAAATGCTACAATTCCAGGCACTTGAGTGGGTGGCAACCACAGTTGAATACAGGGTCACCTAAACAGAATCTATACCAGCGCTCGTATATGACTGCTTGTAAATCTCCATTCACTGTAAGCATTCAATGCCAATTTCCATTATGAATGCTAAGATGTATAAATTTTTCTCTGTAATAAAATTAAAATCATGTGTACCTGCACATATAATTTATTTGTATACATGACTATAAATAAACTGATTTCCATGGGTTTCAACATAACTTATGACTACTTGCATTTTCATTACAGATATTTCTGTGTAAAGTTTTTAAAAGCATAACCCATGGGAACTAAGATAAATTATGCATCAATAAATATTAGTCAAAAGGATGAATAACTGTTTCTATAAGTCACATAAAGATCAAATTCATGATTCAACACATTACACATTAGAATTTAGGATCAATTCCAAATTTTCCTTTCTCAGTATTTGCACTGAAATGCTTGGTGAAAAGAATTATTTTTAAATGATAATACATATAATGTTAATGGTGATACACACTTTGACACATAAAGAGAAAGAAAAAATCATAATTTTTATTTTATAATAATGGTGCTCAAAGACGGAGGGATATATGTAGTTACCCCAAGTTACATTTCACATATGGAACTTTATTGTCATTATTATATTAGTTTTATAAAGACAAAATTTCACTAGACTCCCACAGGATACAGCTGCAGGCTGCCCTATGGAAGAGTCCAGCGAAGAAGACCAGCCAGTGTCCCCTACATGGGGCAGCTTAGGATGAACATCAAATGAACTACAGTCCTGCCAAAGCAGCACCGAGCTTGGGATACAGTGATATTGGATACCATTCTGATGAAAGCCTTGGCATGTGTACAAGGAGTACAGTAAGCACATATGTAGGTACAACAGTAGGGAGCCGCACTCTAGTATCTGGGCATAATTTTACATTTGGTCCTATTTTGTACTATAGCAATAAAGAGTCCTCGTTTTATAGTGTATCATTCAGTATGTAAGTGAGGGTCTCCTTACCTTTGGGTCAGGTCTGAGGCAAAACCAGCTCATAATGCTTAAGACTTCCTTTTCCTCTTTCTTTCATCTTTATTTTTGTAGTACATGTAATGCATGATTACATTCATTGTCAGGACCAGGAATATTTATACGACGTATCTTAAATCTTTTTATTCCCTTTCACCTTCTCTCCTTTGATGTTTTAATAAGTAGACTGAATGCAAGCTTATCCTAGCCAGTGTATGAGAACACTATTGAGAGTACATTAGAATCATCTGATTGGGGCTGGGGAGATGGCTTAATAGAATAAGTGCTCCCCTGGCAAGTTCAAGGGTCTGAGTTCAATCCCTGGTTCCACCAAAAAATAAAAAAAAATAAAAATAAAATCAAATCATCTGATTAAACAAACGTTTTCAATTGCACTCCAGCTATCTGTCTAGATGGTGTTGTCTCCTGGGACTCTGACTGCAGCTATCTAGTCCGTCAGGGTGTTCACACTAAGCCCTATCATTAGACCATTTCACATTTATTTTGGGGACAGTATTTTGGAAAATGGCTAAGTTGCACAAGCTGGGCTCAAACTTGTAATCCTCTTGGTTTAGCTTTCCAAAGGCAGGATTTATGTGTGCCACCTCATCTGACTTCAAATGCAGTTTAGAAGGAGAGGTGATTCTGGCTATGTATTTTTAGAGGAATAATAGTTGTGTTGATTTTGATGTGCAATATCATGTGGACTGGAACAGAGTTGTCAGTGTGAGCAACAAAAGCAACTCAGATTTAATGTTAAGCATAGTCCTCAAAATCACAATTTAGCATTGAAACTTGGAAAGCTGATTATAATCCATATGTACAGAGGAAGGTAATTTATGTATGGTAGACACTTACATTAGCTGGTTTCACCTTTATAATAATTTACAAGGTGCTAATTAATCATTGTTTAAAACCATGGTGAAATATATAGAATGTAAAATTTATCTTCTTAGTTATTATAAATGTGCAATTCAGTTCCATTAATTATGCACACACAGTTATTAGCTTCCACCACGGAGAGCCTTAGAATTTGTCCCAGTTGCCCACAACCATTTAGTGACTTGCTAATATATAAAACCTTTCTCTCTCTACTCTTCCACAAAGCTTTCAGATCAGAAGACTCTAGAGATTTACAGTAATATCTTTTCATATAAGAAATGCAAATGTTGAAACAAAAACTATGACAGTGAATATGATAATACTTCTGATTCTGAAGAGGTGTCTAATGCCATGCATTAAGCCAACCAATGATTATTTTTATAGCCTAGTAAGACACTGATTGAGATTTCTGGGTCAAATACCAACATTATGCTACAGTCAAGCCAACTGGCGTGTGATGAGCTATATAAGGGGAAATTTATGGTTCTACATTTTCTTTATAACACGGTGGGCTACACTAGTACAGGTTGTACATATATTGACTTCTCTGCTTCAGTCAGGAGAAAGATAAAACAAGGCTACAAATCCAAAGACTCATTGTGATTCAAATCACATTTTAAATTAATAAGAGGAAGAGAGAAAGAGGCAGTTCCATTTTCTGACCTTGACCAAGTATTATCTTCTAACAAGGTTGTATTTCTTTAAGGATTTTATACAATGCAAGTGATAAAACATAGATCAAGTATTTCCACACCTCTAAAGTATTGTTCATGACTCACAACATTAATCATAATATGTGTTTCACAAATGATAAGCTTCAGGTCACCAGAAAGAAAAAGCGAACAGTACTTTTGACAAAGACCTATGAACCAAAATGCAAATAAGTATTTCTTAAGAGTTTCTTTTCCTCTTGAAGCTACTAGATTTAGAACTTGGGTTTCAGAATGTTCAAGAGAGTAAACAAAGAACACAAAATGACATTTTTGCAAGATGTAATTGAAAAAAAAAAAGAAAAGTGTGTATAAATAAGACTATGGAGATGTTCGGGTACTTAAAATATGCATTTGTTTTAACTCTCAGTGGAAATTCTAGGTTAGTTGGTAAGAACCAGAGATGATACTTCTTCAAACATGATGAATTTCCACTAAGAATATGTCATGACAGCTTTGACACTTTAAAAATAGATCTTTAAAAATGGAAATAAAAATGCATATAATGTCTAGAATTAAAACCTTCTGTGCCAGGGAAAAATAATAGTCTTTCCTCTTAGGTACTGGGGAAAGCCTTCTGAGAAGACATTTAATGCTAAATAGTTGTAGTCTTAAGCCTTTTTTTTTTCAACATAGCTTCTTAAATTGGACAAATGTAAGTACTCCCCAGGAATTGCCACATTTTAGTTAGCAGAAAATATTCCCATTTTGAACAAAGATGCCTCTTCACAAAATTCATTAGATTTTATGATATACAGACAAAAACGGGAATGTTTTTACTTGACATTACTAAGTCTTACGATACTACGTAGCAATAAATCATGTATTTACCACAGTAATGCACTGAAAATTTCAAAATGACCTAAGAAAAGAAGAGGTTACAGGGAAGAATACATAAAGGTCACTGACATGGGAAGCTCAAAAACAACATGCAAAAAGGAAAACCCTACAAAAGCACATAAAGAAGAGGTGAAGAGGAGCAAACAGCAAGATTGAAAGTCTCCATCCGGGACTGGTCCTCCAGGCTCAAAGAGAGTCAGAAATAGTGGCCTCCCTCAAGCGGGCGAGGTTCTGTGGCACCCTGAAAATTGAGCCTTAGATTCCTCTTTGAAGTATTCTGTGAGTGTCACTGAGAAGTCACCCTGTGTGAGGAAATCTCTGAAGAATGCCTACCTGTATAGCTGCCTGCCTCTGGGAGATGATTCGGTGCTCAGAAAGTAACTGTGCGGGAAAGAACACAACACTAATGTTAGAACCGGACCTACTTTTGTCATCATTTGAATTTTGCAAAAGAAAGACCAGACAAGGGTTTTGAACAACCTAGAAAACATATATA